GAGGAAAAATCCCAAAAAGATTGAGCAGAGCCCACCCACCCACCCCCGCGAGCAACCTTGGATGCCAACACAGCAACAGAGAGACGTGAGAAGGTGAGAAACATCTGCAAGAATTTTTTTGTTTTTGTTTTTACGAGCCTTTCCCCAAGAGTTGTTTTTCCAAAGCTTTACCTGTTGGAAAGCAGCCGGCTGTCGAGTGATTTATATACGCACCGCTTTGAAAAGAGCAGAAAGGATTGCTCAACAAGGAAAAAACACCAAGAAAGGACTAAAAGCTTTACTCCGAGCCAGTTCCCACGAGATCCTACTCAGCGTGGCTGCTAAAGCCGCGACAAACCACACGCTGAGTCAGCTTGGAATATTATTCACTTGGCTTTGAAACCAGGAGAAGGTGAGTTCTAGTCCTGCCTAAGGTACGAAAGCTGACTTTGGGCCAATCGCTGGGTGACATGGAGTTCTAGTCCCATCTTAAGCGGGGAAACTCGGTTGGGTGACTTCGGGTCAAACACTAGGAGACTGTGAATTCTAGTTACACTTTAGGTACGAAAGCTGGCTGGGTGACCATGGGCCAATCACTGGTATCACAGACTGAATTCTAATCCCGCCTTAGGCACAAAAGCTAGTTGGGTGACTTTGGGCCAATCACTAGGAGGTGGTGAATTCTAGTCCCGCCTTAGGCTTGAAAGGCCGGATGACTTTGGGCCCCTCCCCAGGGGACTGTGAGTTCTAATCCTACCTTAGGCATGAAAGCAAGCTGGTTGACTTTGGCCCAATCACCAGGAGAGGGTGAGTTCTAGTCCCGCGTTAGGCATGAAAGGACGCTGGGTGACTTTGGGCCAATCACCAGGAGAGGGTGAGTTCTAGTCCTGCCTAAGGTACGAAAGCTGACTTTGGGCCAATCGCCAGGTGACAGGGAGTCCCATCTTAGGCAGTAAAGTCGGTTGGGTGACTTTGGGTCAAACACTAGGAGACTGTGACTTCTAGTTTCACTTTAGATATGAAAGCTGGCTGGGTGACTACAGGCCAATCATTGGTACCGTAGACTGAATCCTAGTCCTGCCTTAGGCATGAAAGCCAGCTGGGTGACTTTAGGGCCAATCATCAGGAGATGGTGAGTTCTAGTCCTGCCTCAGGCATGAAAGGCAGCTGGTGTGGCTTTGGGCCAGCCCCTGTCTCAAGCCCAACCCACCTCACAGGGCTGTTGTGATGAGGAAAACAAGAGGAGAAAGGAGTATTCGATATGTTCCCTGCTTCAAGTTACTTACGAAGTCATAAAGGCAGGATAAAAAAAAACAACCTAAATAACTAAATCTGAAGCCCTCCGATTTCTACCAGAACTTACCAATCAACCCCTGTGGAGTGATGACATCCGACCACATCTTGATGTCATTGTATTTCACTTTGACGAGGGTGGCCCGTTTGAGTTTGGCCGCTGGCAGCAGCTTCAGATTCTCCATTAAGCTAAAGAAGATCATCTGCGGAATAGCTCCCGCCTCCAAAGCATCCGAAATGAGCCTCCGGCCTTCCAGCAGAATTCTCCCATGCTTCTCGCGGAACGCCCTGGACTTAGCCAGGGTCACCAAATTCCTGTTGGGAAAAAAAAAAAGAGTGAAAGAAAGGAACAGGGTATCACACAAAACTGGACTGGCTTCCTCTATCTAATCTTGGTCTCTGTCTATCTTCCATCCATCCATCCACCTATCTAATTTATATATGTCTGTCTGTCTTCCATCCATCCATCCACCTCTCTCGTTTATATTAAGGGTTACAGGAACTGGGCATGGCTAGTATAGTGAAGAGAAGGGCCAGGGAAGACAGGATAGCAGTCTTCCAATATTTGAGGGGCTGCCACAAGAGAAGAAGGGGTCAAGCTATTTTCCAAGCCACCCAAAGGCCAGACAAGGAATAATGGATGGAAACTGAACAAGGAGAGATTCAACTTGGAAATAAGGAGAAACTTTCTGACAGTGAGAACAATCAACCAATGGAACAGAAGTTGCCTTCAGAAGTTGTGTGAGCTTCATCCCTGGAGGCTTTCAAGAAGAGACTAGACTGTCATCTGTCAGAAATGGTGTAGGATCTCCCACTTGGGTGATGGGGTTGGACTCGATGACCTACAAGGTCCCTTCCAACTCTGATTACCTGTTATCTTTTATATATGTCTGTCTGCCTGTCTGTCTTCCATCCATCCATGATCCATCTACCTATCTCATTTTATATATGTCTATCTTCCATCCACCCACCTGTCTCATTTTATATGACTGTCTATCTTTATCTTGCTATCTTTAATCTATCTAGTTCTCTAGTTATTTCTATCATCCAGCCATCAATATCTATCAATCTTATCTATCAATCATATCTATAACATCTATCACATTTATCCATCCATATCCATCCATCCATATCCATCTCTATCATGTGTCTGTATCTATCTATCTTTGCCTACCTACCATTCATCCATCATCTATCTTATCTCCGTCTATAACTATCATCGATCAACTTCTATCTAATCTATATGTATGTACATCATCTATCTAGCTCTCTAGTTCTTTCTATCATTTATCCGTCAGTATCTATCTATCTATCTATCTATCTATCTATCTATCTATCATCTACCTACCTACCATATCTATCATCTAATATAATCTGTATCATCCATCATATCCATCAATACCTATTCATCTCTATCGTGTCTGTCTGTCTGTCTGTATCTTTATCTATCTCTATCTGCCTACCTATCATCCATCCATCATCTATCTTGTCTCTATCTATACCTATCACCTATCAATTTTTATCTAATCTATATTTATGTACATCTGTTGGAAGTTACGATTCCCCGCTCTTCTACGAAAACAGCCCCCCACCCTTTGTCAAGTAGGGCTATTAAAATAGCTGGAGCCAGCTTACTTTTCACAACAAAGGAAGGAGAAAATTACAGGCATGAGATACAGAGGGAAAAAACCCTACAAACTAGCTAAGATCCTTTCCCATAGAAATCAAATAGATGGCAAGCTATAAAAAAAACTTGTGAAAAGCAAACCAAAAGGCATGGCAGGAAGCAACCACAATAGCAAACAAGCAACTACAAAGGATCAGGACCATAAAACCAAGATCCCAACCTCAAAGAGACAAGAATTCAACACACACAAATCAAAGACTTCACTTCCAAATCAAAGGACCTGAAAAAGTATAAGAAAGGGGTTTTCTTACCCACTTATTAGATTAATCCTAGGAACACTGTGAGATTTCTTTTTACCTGCCTTCCTATTAATAAACTGATTCTGACTTTCAGCGCAGCTGACCAAATCATTTTGCATTTCTCCCAGCTGGGAAATTTGAATCCACAAAAGGAAAGAACTTTGCCTATTCCTTAAAGGGCAAGGCTTCTTTTTTCCTTTCCTCACATCTATCATCTATCAAGCTCTCTAGCTCTTTCTATCATTCATCCATCAATATCTATCTATCTATCCATCTATCTATCATCTACCTACCTACTTACTATACCATCTATCTATATCATCTGTATCATCCATCATCTCCATCCATGCCTTCCATCTCTATCATGTGCGTCTGTCTCTCTACCTACCTTCCTACATCTACTGTATCTATTTTAGAGATAATCCTCAACTTACTAAGTAACATTTCCATTGCAAAGTAAGACAGTCCTTAAGTTTTCTGATTTTCTGATTTTGGCCTGATTTGTTTAGGGGTGGAGTGGGGTAGTCGCACATTTAAATCATAATGCACCAATTGCACATCCAAGCCTAAAATATTTCACATATAAGGCGAATAAAGCAGGGGGGAGGGGGATTTTCTCAGACGGTTTACTTTAGATCAAATGGACTACAACTCCCACCATTACAGGCCAGCAAGGGATGTACTTCAACATCACTGGTGCTGCTGGCTGAGGAGTGATGGGCATTGATGGAAATCAGGAGTTGGAGTCCAATACGTCAGCTACGACAGCGGGATGGGGGAAAGAAGGAAAGGAACGGAGGAAAACGAATACCCCCGGAGGATTTTCAGCAAAAAAATAAAAATGTAAGTTATTTTTCGCCTCAAAACTACAATTCCCAGAAAGCGTTGCGGGAAGTCAAAATCCGTGACTCCCGTCTTTCCTTCCCGAAGGACGCTGGGAATTGTGGTTCGCTCCTTCCAGTTCCGTTCACTTCCCCAAGCAGCCCGCACTACAACAACCAGGATGCTTTGCGCGAACGAAATTACCTCAGTCTCTTCTCGTTGGGTCCGGCCCGCTCGTAACGCAGCTCCGCCTCTTTGGGTTCCGGTTCCGGTTGGCGCTCCTTTGGGGGCGCTTTTGGTATGTAACTGGCCTTAATTTTGCTGGGGACGATCCGTTGCTTCTCCTGCGTCTCCGCAACCGAAGGAAGCACGCAGAGAGGTTTCCTTCTTAGACCGCGAATGCCGCGACGGCTCCCAACGCTAATCCGACACGGCGTGAACAGTAGAGGAGCCCATGCGTGCCTGAAGAAGGATGCCATCTTGCTCACGGGCGGAAATAGTCAAAGATGTGAGACTTAGTCTCGCGAGATTTCGATGTCAAGGTGCCTGATAGCCGTCTCGAATCAAAATAGTTCACTTCAGCCATAGAGGAAATAATATAGAGCGTCTAGGAGGTTCCGGTTAGAAATAGCCGTTCCTATTGGCTGTGGTTTTCAATTGGTGGAGGAGGGAATTTTCTGTAGCGGAAGACTGAGTCTGCGTGGAGACGGGGCTCCGTCTATGTTGTCTGTGACGTTATCAGACGGCGACACGCCGCGACAAAGTAAAATAGACAATCCAAGAACTCGTGATTTTCTGAGAGAAGAAAATGAAGGCAAGACGCGCGTTGCATTTTGTCTTCAAAGTCGGCGACCGAGCTCAGACCATCCGTTTTTACCGAGAGCTACTGGGCATGCGCGTAAGTAGGCTGCTGTGGCCGCCTCGGTCAGAGAGACCCGGGAAAACGCGGAGGGCTTGGAACCGAAGAGATGACGTCATCACTAGAGGCACCCTGAGGCGGAAGTCCACCGAAAATTGATTCCCTAGAGCGGCCAATAAGCTACTGCTAGAATAGATAGAACAGAATAGAATACCTTTATTGGCCAAGTGTGATTGGACACACAAGGAATTTGTCTTGGTGTAAATACTCTCAGTGTACATAAAGAAAAGGCACATTCATTAAGAATCAAGAATCATAACGTGCAACACTTAATGATAGTCATAGGGTACAATCAACGATCAAATCACACTAGGAAACAGTCAATATAAATCATAAGGATACAAGCAACAAAGTTACAGTCTTACAAGTGGGAGGGGATGGGTGATAAGGAGTGGTGAGAAGATTAATAGCAATAGTAGAGTACACTTAGTAAATAGTTGGACAGTGTTGAGGGAATTATTTGTTTAGCAGAGTGATGGCGTTTGGGAAAAAACTGTCCTTGTGTCTAGCTGTTCTGGTGTGCAGTGCCCTATAGCGTCGTTTTGAGGGAAGGAATTAAAACAGTTTATGTCCAGGATGTGAGGGGTCTGTAGATATTTTCACAGCCCTCTTTTTGACTCGTGCAGGACACAGGTCCTCGATGGAAGGCAGGTGGGTAGTAATTGTTTTTTCTGCAGTCCTAATTATCCTCTGGAGTCTGTGTCTGTCCTGTTGGGTGGCAGAACCAAACCAGACATTTAGAGAGGTGCAGATGGATAGACTCAATCATTCCTCTGTAGAACTGCATCAGCAGCTCCTTGGGCAATTTGAGCTTTCTGAGTTGGTGCAGAAAGAACATTCTTCGTTGGGCTTTTTTGATGATGTTTTTGATGTTAGGTGTCCATTTTAGGTCATGTGATATAGTAGAACCTAGAAATGTGAAGGTCTCTACTGTTGATACTGTGTTGTCTAGTGTTGTAAGAGGTGGTAGTATAGGAGGGTTTCTTCTAAAGTCTACCACCATTTCTACGGTTTTGAGTGTGCTCAGTTCCAGATTGTTCCGGTTACACCACAAGGCAAGTTGTATAACCTCCCTGTCTGTATGCAGATTCTATAACCTCCCTGTCTGTATGCAGATTCATCGTTGTCTCGAATGAGACCAATCACTGTTGTGTCATCAGCAAACTTCTCTTTGGAACAACGTAGCTGCTTAAGTTAGCTGTGAATCAAGGTTTATTGTTACTATATATTTGCAGGTTCCTTGTTGGTACACATAAGTCTTCACAGAAGCTAACATATGATGTTACAGTATCTGTGAGCTCATCTAGGTCTGCAGAGGCATCTTCAAAAACATTCCAATCAGTGCAGTCAAGGCAGGCCTGGAGTTTCAGCTTTGCCTCATCCAACCAAGTCTTCACTGATTTAATTGTTGGTTTAATGGTTTTAAGTCTTTGTAGGCAGGTACAAGGTGAATCATGCAGTGGTCAGAGTGTCCCACAGCTGCTCGTGGTGGTGACTTGTTGCATCCAAGTTTCCTTGGCTAACGTTTGCTTTCGCCAATCATAACCTTTAACTTTAAAGATTTACATTTAAATTATTTTCTATGCACTAAATAAGACCGTAGTCCATGTGCAGGGAGTCCTCAACTTACAACACTTCATTTAGTGACCGTTCAAAGTTAACAATAGCACTGAAAACAGTGACTTATGATCCTTTTTCACACTTATGACCATTGTAGCATCCCCGTGGTCACCTGATCAAAATTCACACTTGGCAACTGCTTCGTATTTATGACTGTCGTTGTGATCATGTGATCCCCTTTTGCAACCTGGCAAGCCAAGTCCATGGGGGAAGCCAGATTCACTTAACGACCGCATTCCTAACTTAAGAACTGCAGTGATTCACTTAACAATGGTGGCAAGAAAGGTCGTAGAATGGGGCCAAACTCCCTTCACAACTGTCTCACTTAACAACATAAATTTGAGTGCTCAATGGTGGTCATAAGCCAGCTACACCCGAAACTGGATGCAGGATTCCAGGTGTGGCCTCACTGAGGCTTTATAAAGCGGTACTAATACTTCACCAGATCTTGATTCTGTCCCTCTTGTTTACTGACCAGTTTAATGTGGGTTTGAACCAACAGGTCCTGAGGCATGAAGAATTTGAAGGAGGTTGCAAGGCCACCTGCAACGGGTATGTAGGTTTCATCCCGATTCCTCATAATCAAAGGAACTATCTGGATTTGGAGGGTTTACAGACTGTGGTGTCTCGTTTAACAACTGCCTCGTTTAGCAGTGGAAATTCTGGTCCCAACTGTGGTGATAAGTCGAGGCCTACCTGTACCCTCCAGGCTGTTCCAAGATGTTCTGACCAAGGCTTCCTGAGACAGTAACAATCACACGCTGTTCCCCAAAACCTTGTTTTTATGATTTCACCGGCTGTGAATTATATGCATTCACAGCCTGTAATGAGTCCCAAACAGTTTGTGAATAGTCTGCCATAGTCTTTTGGGATAAGGCTGATAAGCAGCCACCTTTATCTCCCTTGAACTGCTGCCAACGACTGAATTGCCAATTAGCTGTACTACAAGGCCAAACGGAGCACAGAGTCAACACGGAACTTCAGATCTTAAACCGACCAGAACGAACAAAGTTGCTTCCTGCAAAGGCCCTTTGCTCCTCCTTTATGTCTTGTGGGAGGGGCCAATCATCTCCAAGCCTTACTCCCAAGTCGCCCCTTTTGTCTTAACTGTTCTTGCCTTCTGGCAGCTCTGCGCAAGCGCACACTGGGAACAGGCTCCCCCTGTTCCTCTGCCTCACTGATGTCAGATTCTGGAGGCTCCGGAGTTAGGACATAACTCCCAGATGGCCCTGGCCCCATTTCTGTGTCAGACGCAGATCCCTCGTCTGAGCCCTCCCCAGATTCCAGGATTGGCCCATGTTCCTCCGCACTGTCTGACTGTCATGACCCGGGGCATGGCACAAAAATAACAAAGTCACCAAAGTAGATAAATTCCCTTTAATACCTCCAACTTGTCCCACAATGTCCAATTATCCTCGGCAGAAGATCAAACTCTTCCAAAAACAGTCTACAAGGGGAAGAAATGCAGTCCAAACCCCAAGTACAGATAAAGTAGTAATAAAAAAACAACAACACAAACCATGCTGAAGTAATTAACACGACAGACCAGGATAATAACTTGCAGACTTCCCAAAGATAACGAGGCACACACAGTTGGGAGGACGCCAAAACCCAGATAAGCCTCAACAAAGATAATGCACGTTTTGCTTCCAGCAACTTTGCCGTTTTAAACAGTCTTCCCAGCTGCAGCCCATGAAGGGGATCAGGGCCCTTTCCTCCCCTGTAAACCACGTTGCTCCCTTTTCTGTTCCTCCCTGCGTGCCCTAGGATGAAGAGGGGGTGGGCCTGGGTCTTCCTCTGAATGCCCAGCTGGCCTGTGCCCTTCCCCAGTTTCCTCCACAGCCACCGGAGCCACACTCCCACTCCCTGTCAGCTGTTCCACCTCTCCCTCAGAATCAGATTCCAACTAGGGCATGACAACACCTCTGCTACCAGCTTCGCAGGACACCGGCAGACCACAACAGGAGGGAAGGGGAAAGCATAACAGATCCGTGGTGGGATTCAAATTATTTTACTACCGGTTCTGTGGCCGTGGCTTGGTGGGCATGGCAGGGGAAGGATACTGTAAAATATCCAGTCAAAAAGTTGTACTTGCTGGTTCTCCGAACTACTCAAAATTTCTGCTACCGGTTCTCCAGAACTGGTCAGAAGCTGCTGAATACCACCTCTGTAACAGATATTTCTAGTTGTGATGCTGTACCTGTAAACAAATTAAGGCGAATATGTTTTTAGTCCTTATGATGGCAAATGGAGTAAAACTATGGTCGGCTACGGACCGGAGGACGGCCACTTCGTCGCCGAGCTAACATACAACTACGGTGTGGGGAATTACCACCTTGGCAACGATTTTCTGGTAAGCGTTATTCCCAATATGGCTTTGTGATCATTATATATAATCTGGAATTGGCATAAAAAGGAGGAAAGGCAGTTCAGGTTGTTCTCGACGTTCAGCAGTTCGTTTAGTGACTGCTTGACATTACAACAGCCCTGAAAAAAGGGATTTATGACCGGTTTACGACTGTCACAGCATCCCCCTGGTCTGTCAGAACATTTGGCAGCGTGACGACCTTGAGGAGATAACCCAGGAGCAATACACAGCACACACAGACTTAGACCAGGGGTTGCCGACTTTTTGGACCTCAGGGACCACCAAACCCATCATTTTAAATCCCGTGGACCAGAGACCCTGGGAAAATCCCCCCAAAAGTCTGCAGGAAAATCCCCCACCCCGTTTTCCTACCGATCGATCGTTCTTTATTTGGGATCGCAGGATACCCTCTCCAGTTCCATTCTCGGGGGGGGGGGGGGGGGGGGGG